CGGTGTAGCCAGGATGGCGGTTTTAGGGAGCCAGTTCTGTTCTCCAGGCTGGACGTGGGCGCTCCCTGCCTGAACCCCAGTAGCACTTTCTTACTTCGTGTCCTGGGCTCAGAGTTCGGTGCTGTGAAGGGTGGAACTGAATTCCCTCTCCGCAGCTTCCTAGCAGCATGATCAGAGAGCCTTTATTTGGCACCTTTTTGCTATTATGAAATGGGCAAAATGATATAATCTTGTAGGAAAGTTAAAAGTGACACATGTGACTGTACACGGTGAGGTGTGTCTGTAATCTTTGGTACTCAGGAAGTTAAGGCAAGAAGATTGCTAGTTTGAAGCCAGAGTGGGCAATTTGGTGAGACCCTGTCCCAAAAATAATGAATAAAAAGGGATGGGGATGTAGCTCAGTGCACCGAGTTCAGTCTTCAGTACCACAAAACAATGACAGGAGTAGTACATGCAAACCTCCCCACACAAGCGACTGATAGGCAGCAATTATTAATATGTGATGCACATTTATTGGCCACTAGGACACACATGCCCCGAGATGCAGGCTCACCAGCTTCTGTTTATTTCGGGATCAACCCCAGTGCCCAGTGTGGACCTAGTTGGAGGCATCAAAATGCCATCTTGTGTCCCTCCTCCCCAGAAGTACAGCCTCTGCATCTCCACTGCAGCTCTTTCCTCCTGTCTGCCTGCTTCCCTACCTGAAGGTGCCTCCATATCCACCCTAGGCCACACACAGACATTTAGAGTCGCTGCATGAAAACTGCTGCATGTGGAAGTGAATGTTGACAGTTCCCAACGTGAACCCCTCAGATATTGGTATGCAGCCTCAGGAAGCAGTGCCATGAAACCACAGTGCTCCAAACCCCTGTAAGAAATGGCTGGAACCCTGCAACCCTGGCAGGGCTCTTGGCTGGCACTTGGCTCTTCTGATTCTGGCTGAACCCCAGCAGCCCGGAGGCTCAGAAACACTTAAAGCCCCAAAACCCACATTCTAGGTGAGGGTGCTGCCGACCTGAGGCTCCCCACCCCAAAGCACAAGGAAGTCCCTGCAGCCCCTGAGACTGTAGATGGAGCCACAGAACAGCACTAGGTTTTCCAGGAGCCTCTTTGTCAGGCCGCCCCCACTTCCGGCGGCCGATCCAGGAATCAAGGTTTGCGGTTGTCCATCAGCTAGGTGGGTATCCCAGCTAGGGGTGACAGGGAACCCTGACCTCCAGCCTGTGCAATTGTGCTGGAGAATGCTGGAGGCCAAGGCCCTGGGGCCGGGGGAGGGCGCCCCGCTGCTGATGGAGCTGGGAGCAGCTTTGATGTTCTGAGCAGGGGAGCAGGACGGCAGGCGTGGGAAGCTTGACGTCTGTTTCCTGGAACCCCACCAGGCAAAGCCTTCTCGCTATCTCCTTCGCCTCAGCATAGCCTCAAGGTGCGAGCTGTTCTGTGTTGGCCCACAGTGAAGCAGGCCAGAACCAAAGAATACACTGAATGAGACTGGAAAATCAGAGGCCAGAGAAAGCAGTCCTCTCCGCATTATAAGTGCGTCAAAGTGTACCCCTGTGCGGCTGGGACAGGAGCCATCAAAATGCAAATGTGGGTTTTGATAATGCTAATGTGGAAGTGGAGAACAATACGGAGACAGACTTCTTGGGACTTCGAGGGCCCCAGGGCAGGACGGGATGAAAGGGGAAAGGAAGCCCAGAGCGAGGGCCTGGAGAAGAGAGCAGCGGGCTGACTGCAGCTGAAAGACAGGGCCAGGCGTAGACAGGGAGGTGCTGAGAGGGGGCCAGAGGACCTGACCGCTGACCGCTGACCGCTGACCTTAGGCTCCCGCCGGCCTTGGGAGGCCGAGTTCAGGGCCGTTTTTGTGAGTGGCAGCTGTAGGGCGGGGGTCTCGGGCTTGCACTGGAGGTCGAGGCCCGGAGAAAGAGTCGAGGTGCTGGGAAGCCCGGAGGCATGGTGCCTGAGCCATTGGCCTAGGACTGAGAGTTTGAAAAGAGGTGGAGCCAGGGTCAGGTTGAGAAGCCTCGCCGAGGGCTGCTTCCCTGGCTTTAAATCTTGTCCCCACCAGTGTAGGCCAAATGCCTTCTCTCTGCACTTCTTTCTTACCTGTAACAAAACAGACTGGCTGCTGGGAGGACCAGATCACCCGGCAGAGGCCAGAGGCTCTGTGGGTGGCTGCTGCTGTCTCTATTTCACTAGACCGAGAAACAGGCTGAGTAACGCACGCAGGGTTAGATCGGAGGGGGCGAGGGAAATTGCTGCGCCAACCTACTGTGCCACCTTACCTGCCACTCCCAGGGGCAGTGTGAGCTGTGTGACTGAGGACAGGCCCAGGATGGCCAGGGACCCGAAGTGAGGGACTTGTCACAGCTCAGGCCGTGAGCCCCTGCAGAGGAGAAGGCCCGAGCCCCGGAAGGTGGTGGTGGAAAACGCCTCTTGCTGGGAGGGGGTGCTCAGCTTCAGCTCCGGGCTTGTTCCTGTCAGGTCTCAGCAGCGCCCTCTGCAGCCCTGCCACGCAGATCAGCTGCTGCCCACCACCCTCCCCGCCCACCAGACTGGGAGTTCCTTCCACTCCTGCACTGCGCCCTGTGCTTGCTGAATGAGTTCATTCACCAGAGTCGTGGGCCAGGCCCAGTTCTGAGCACCGGAATGTACAGGACAGAATCTGATCCCTGATTCTTCCCTTGCGCAACTCTGTCTGGTGAATGAATAAAAGAAAGAATGAATGGAAACCGTGGGAAGGGCCACAGGGAGCTGCCCTCCTGCTAATTGCTTTAGGAGCTCGTAGATAGTGCAGATACACTCTTCCCTCCAGCCAAGCCTCACGCACTGGCTGCGCGGAGTCCTGGATCCCAGTGCCCTGAGAACCAGCTATTGCAGGAAGACAGGACACCTTGCCCGCCTTCTATGCTACCCCAGGAGCAGAGGGTGGAGGAGGCACCTGGGGTTGTTGACATGCATCTTCTCTGCGGCTCTCCTGAGACCCAGAGCTGGGGAGCTGGGCGTCCCCAGGGTGAGGCGAGCCACCCCGAAGGCAGCACGGAGGGCCTTCCCAGCATGCAAGCCTGGTACTGAGTGAAGTGTACTTCAGGGAGCGAGCTCTGCATTCCTCTTCGGTGGAAATACCACAGCCCGAAGTGGCCGCGTGCGCGTGCATGCGCGCGCGCGCGTGTGTGTGTGTGTGTGTGTGTGTGTGTACTTGGGAAACCGAGAGTGAAACAGGCCAGGGACATTTCTAGGGCTCCTGTGGAACAATGAGCGAGGGGGCACAACTGGCCCAGGCCACGGCCCACCAGCCGTGCCCGGCGGGGTTTCTGAGAAATGGGCTGCCCAGGAAGGGCCTTGCAGGAAGCAGAGCATGGCCTGCTGGCCTCGCTGTCTGGGCTTACACAGAGAGTGACCACGAGGGAGTCCGAGTGACCAGGCGCCCGGCCTGGCCCGGGAGTCGGCCGGAAGGCAAGGCCAAGGCCCTCCCAGGGTGGCCAGGGAGGTGAGGACAGGGGCAGGGAGCGCGCGAGACCATCCGGACCGCGTGGGGCCGGGCAGGCCAGGCCTCCCTTTCCAGAGCGGAGTACCGCAGAAGGCCCGCTCTGCACGGCCGCACCGGCCTCTCCGGGGCAATGCGGAGGTGGGGATGAGAAGCCGGCGCGGTGGAGGCCACCGAGAGTGGGCCAATGTCCTACACGCAACTCTGCCCGCGCGGCCATCACCGTAACCCACGTCCCTGGCATCTCTCCCGCCCCCGGTGCTCTGCCTCTTCCCCCACCCCACTTCCTTCACACCCCACACTTCAGGCCCTGCAACCCTGTAAAATGAAAACAGACCAACGGTCGCCATCTTCCCATCTAAATCGGCGACTGTGCGTGCGCGCATGCGACTGTGACTGGTGACTCCCGAGGCGTCCTGGGGGGGCTGTAAGTGCCCTGAGGCCAGGGCGCGGCTGTTCCAGCGCTGGCCAGACGTGGGTGGACGGCGGGTGACTGCTCATAATCTGCCGCGTGAGGGAAGGAGCAAAGCGGTGGAGCCGCAGTTTTCGATTCTTCACTGCATGCAGGCAGGGCGGAGACCAGGCCGCCAGCCCCGCCAGCCCGGCTGGCTGCTACCTCCTCTTCGCTCTCGACTCAGCCACCAGGTTGTGACCGGGCAGCGCTGGTGGGGTCGGGTGGTGTGGGGCTGTGGGGGAGCAGCTTCTGGAGCACAGCTGGGCGGGTGGCATCCGAAAAGCTCTTGCCATGTGCAGAAAGCATCTTTTGCTTAGCGCTCTTCTCTACAAATACCCGCGGCTGGCTTCTGCTTTCATGGGTAATCCCAAAAAACACCACCATTCGTCTTTTTAGTTTGTTTGTTTGTTTATTTATTTATTTATTTTCCAGCCAGGCTTGTGAAAACATTTTTTTTTTTGGTACCAGGGATCAAACTCGAGTCCTTGCGCTTTCGAGGCAGGCGCCGGAACCACTGAGCTAAATCCCCGGCCCAACATTTTTTAGTCTAACAAAAATATAAACTAAGCCTACGATGTATCTGAACAGAGACCAAATTAAAACGTCAGCATAGCCGACCACTTTCTTGGTGAATGGACACGATGCACGCTGCTCTGTGCTGGGCAGGCCGTGTGGCTTCCGTTCTCCAGGTTCTTGCTCCCCAGTGGACTTTGGAAGGGAGTCCTATCTCCTGGTTATCCCTGTGCCACCTGGTATGGAATAGGCTCTCCATACGTATTTGTTGAATGAATAAGTGAATGGAGCTTTTTTAAGTCTGGAAAGTGCTGGGGGCCAGGGGCAAAACCAGAGCACGAAAAATGCTACAGGCATTTGCTCAAGCATTTATTTGCGATCTCTTGGGAGGCCTATTACTTTCTTCTTCAGTACAGGGAATCAAACTCAGGACCCGCGCTTGCCAAGGAGGCCTATTATTATTATTTTTCTTTGTAATGGAATGTCCTAACAGGCAGGCGCTAACCCCTTCTGGCTATTGGGATACAGGGAATCACCTAGTCTGTCTGAGCTGCCTCAGCCTGGTCCACTGAACAGGGACAGCGATTCCTGACTTCTACGAGGACGGCCTTTTAAGTAAGTTCAACCCAGTATTTGGCGCCGAGCACTGCGGATGGAACAGGAGCGGCCTCGTCCCGGCCCCGGGAGGCCCGGGGCGGACACTGGCAGGAGTGGACTGGGCCCCGCGAGCCGGAGCCAGCGGAGGCAGCCGGGTAGCGCGGCGAAGTCCGGGTCTCCGAGACCCGGAGGCCGGAAAAGCGGGCGGGGCGGGGTGGGGCGGAGAGCGCCGGGCGGAAGCCGGGGTGTTCTCGGGGGCCCGCCAGCATCTAGACCGGGGCCCGCGGACAGTCGGGCCTCGGCGGCCACCAAGAAAATTCCTGAGGAAAACCGGAAACGGGAGGGAGTGCGTCGTGAAGACCTAGCGGGGTCGCACGGAACTGGGCTGACCGGGGCGGGAGCCCAGTGGAGGAGGCGCCTGAGCCCCTGCTGCCCCGAAACGGCGTGGGGCGCGGGCGGGGAAACTGAGGACCGGCCGCCGCGGCCGGGATTTCCGAGCGGAGGGCGCAGGGTCGCTGCCAGGCCCCAGGGCAGGGCGCAGCCGCGCCCGCTGCTCTCACTGCCACCCTAGCAACCCGCCGGCGGGCGCGGCAATTGGCTGCGCGAGCACCAATGGGCGCTGGCGGGCGGGGCAGGCGCAGTGTCTCCCGGCCCGGGAAGATTCCTGCGGGATCGTTGGGCGGGCTCGCCCGGGTGATCCGTTGGGCGGGGCCCTCGGGCCTGCCCAGTCCCCAGGGCGCCCCGGCTGGCTGCGTCCGACCTCCGGCGGCCGGCGCTTGGGCCTCTCCCGGGGCCGGAGACGCGGGCGCCCGCTCGGGTGCCTCCCCATCCCGGCCTCCGTCCACGCCTGGGAGAGGCCAGGAGGACCCGGCAGGGCAGTCACACCGGTACCCTGCTGGCCTCGGGCCCCAGGGTTGGGGCCGGCCGAGCCCGCCCGTTGTCCCCAGGCTTCCTTCGGTCCCAGGGCGGGGCGACCGGGAGGCCGAGGGCCCAGGAGGCGAGCGCGCTTCCCCGGGGCTGTGCGTGCTGTTTCTTTGTAAACGGACACCTGCACTCGCGCATGTTTGTGTGTGAACAACACGATTTGATTAAAGAGAGCAGAAAAGAAAAAGGCAGCGCAGGCTGCTGCCTTCGGCTCGGTGACCTTGCGCGAGTGAGTCCCTGGCCCGCGCTAGCTCCTGCCACCCGCTGGGCCGGCTGCCCTCCCGGAGGAGAGCGAGCTGACTGACCTCTTCAGCTCCCCTCCGGCTCTGCCTCCACGATTAAATGCAGCACTGTGTGAGTAATTGCTTCGAAAACTGCAGAGCGCTGGGGGTCTTGCTGCTGTTGTTTTAATACAGATAAAGGTGACCCTGGAGATCCTGAAGCTGTGTGACTGGCTGTAAATCAAGCCATCCAGTGTCTGCCCCGTGAGCTGCAGCGGCGCTTGTTTGGGACAGGGTTTCACCGTGGCTGGTGAATCAGGATTATTCACGCAGCGTGGCAGCCGGCTCCCACCCTGGTTTTGCAGCCTGGGCTGGCCACTGCCTGCCTTGGTTTCCCCACCCCAGCCGGCCTTTCCAGCCTCCTGTCATTCAGAGGATTGTGTTTTGCCTTTGCCAAACTTAGAGCCCCTGGAAGCAGGACTTCCAGTTGGGGGGGGGGGAGAAACTAGAACCGGATTGATTTTGCCACAACCAGTTATGACCGCCCCCTCTCCTACTCTGACCGTCTGGGAGCTCCTGACATTACTGAGATGGTGCAGGAGAAGGAGGAGGAAGATGGACAAAGAGGCCAGAGGCCGGGCACAAGAGGAAAGGCTTTTTGAGACAGAGCCTTCTTAAGTTGTCCAGCCTGGGCTCTAACTTGCAATCCTTCTGCTTTAGCTTCCCTGAGTGCTGGGAATACAGGTGTGAACTAGAAAAAGGATTTAAAAAAAAAAGATAGTTCTATCAATTCAGAAAGGGGAAGATATCTGAGCCACAAGAAGGCAGGGCATGTCATGATACATTAGATAAAAAGAAGAGTTCCTAAAGACCGGGGCCTCGTGGGGAATTTGGCTCTCAGAGGAAGTGATATACAGGACACTTCCCAAGGAGGGTGAGACATTTTTCTCGAAGTAAGAAGTGTGTGCAGCCTGAGGGAAGCCTAGGGGTGGGGCAGAGAGACAGGAGAATCATAGCTCCTAGGAAAGGTTGAACACCAGGTATGAAGGGACGCAGGACAGAAACTGGAAGGCAGAATTATAAATGCTCTTATCTGTTGAGGACTTTGGGCATTGTTTTGTAGGAAACAGCAATGCAAGGCATTGAATAGGTGGCAGAGATCAGTAATGAAGAATATTGTTTTTCCAACTTCAGGTGATACAGTGAAATCCAGGTCATGACTGATACATAAAAATTAAACGGATGAATACAGAGTGGAACAATATCAACATACCTGCATGCAGTGCTGTTTGATGAAGTGTGTGCGTGTGCATGTGTGGTTGTGTCCCTGTTCTGACTCAGGGTGTCAAATGTGCTTGTTACTATGGGTCATGGTCAAACAAGTCTGAAATCCACGGGATCTGCAAAATCTTCAGGCTGGAGGTGGAGGGTGTGCTGCAGGGGGAGAGACAGGAAGTTCTTGCAAACAGGGTCAGTGACTTGCATTCCCTCCCACTTAAAGTTCTTCAGGGGAAATTGCTCAACCTTTTTTTTCAATTCATTAAGTTTATTGGTACATTTTAGGTGTACAGTATGATGACATTCATCATTGGGAATTGGAAATTGCTTAACTTTTGAAGTCAGCTAACTGATCTCTTCCAAGACCTCCTCTGCAGAGGAGAGGTTATTGTGTTTTCTCTGCAGGGGAGTGGATGAGATGATTAAAGTTTCTTGCTTCATTGGCCGGGTACTTTGCCTAACAGCGTGCAGATTCTGGGCTAATAGTCCGAGCTTGGTTCTTTGCACTCTGCCACAGACCCATACAAATTGTAATCTTGTGAGTTAAGTATGATAGTAGTTTTCCATTCTTGCAGCGAAACATTATGCAATTATTACCGCATTTTGGATTAGTGCAGTCAGTGACTGGTATCTAGCCACGGGCTCGGTGAGCATGGGAGGTGCCATCTCTCATGCATGAGGAATGCCCTAATATTTAAAGCCCTGAAGACAGCTATTTCATAACCTCACATGGTTGGTAATGCCAGCGACTTAACAGACTGAGTGTCCCAAGTGGAAATAGCGTGGTCCCCTCTTGCTGCAGTCATAGCGCATCTCTACCGCTGGCCTCAGAGAAGCCTACTTTAAACCTCTCTGTGTGAGTCTGCGTTTGCTTCTTTCCAGACAGCCTTAAATGCAGCAGGGGCCCATTTATTTTCCCAAGAACATTGCTCCTTGGCTGTAATAGAGGATGATCCAATCTGGTTTGTTCTTAAGGTGCCGGGAGTTGTACACATTTGATTCCATACTGTACACACCCATGTGCTCCTGTTGCCCACACCCAACCCCGTGCATGTGGTACAGATCCCAGCTCAGTTTACACAATCAGATACATGGCCTCTTGGTTGTGGCTCCAGGGCAAACATACCCACACAACTCTTTGGACGCCATAAATGTGTGTATCCTTCCTATCTGAGCTGGGTTGTTCCAGTTCTCTTAACCCTGACTGATTCCTAACCCATAATGGGAAGAGACATTTACCCTGATGTGAATGCCACTGTATACCAAGCCCTGTACTAGGCACTTTATAGATTCAGAAACCCCAGAAGAGATTACCTCCCTTTTATGGATAAAGAGACAGACTTGGCTGTTTTCATAGTTGCACATCTAGTTAATAATTCACTTCAGAACCACTTTTACACTTTAATCCTGTGCTCTGACTTCAGAGATCATCATTTCCCTGGTTTCCTTCAGTAGCTGCTTCACCTGGGAGCTCAGAGGAGCTCCTCTCTTTCCACTGTTTCACAAACATGAAAATCTAGGTGCTTCAGAAAGAAGGTCTAAATGAATTTAGGTTTGCACTGCGACTCACAGAGGAAGAAGGTCCAGCTGACACTGGGCCCTGGCTCCAACCTCGAGGCTGATGTCCCTGGCTGTGAGGAAGGCTGTCTCAGTGTGAGCCAGGAAGACAGAGGACAGTGCCCAGAACCACACAGGTCCAGATGTAAAGAAGCTTACCGTGAGCCAGCCATGTGCTCCCTCGTGTCGTCCCATATCCTTGTCTCCATTATTTCTTCATTCCTTATTCATGGCCTTGCCTTTCATCTCTCCCTTCCTTTGGACATCCATTCTAGGGTCAAAAATGCCAGTCAGCCCTTCCTCAAAGACCGAATGATCAGAGGCCGCCATTTTCGACATGACTGCCACCACTCCTGGCAGATAAGCGGTCATCCAGGTCTGGGCACCAGCTGCTCTGGCCAGGGAAAGATGGAGCTGTCCCAGGCCGGGTGACGAGGGGGAAGTGTACACCTCTGCAGCTGTCAGCCTGGAGCAGTCCTTTTGGCTGACAAGAGCCTACCTGACAAAACCATCCTCTCCTCCTTCCCCCTTGCTTAGAACACGGAACCAGCCCTAGGGTTCTCAGCGGCAGTAGGGCTCTGGGACCCAGCCTCTCAGCTGATGAAGGGATCTGCTGTACAGCGTCCCTTGCATTGTTTAGCCGACATCTGCTCAAGGTGTCGGGAGCTAACTTGTATCTACCCACTCTGCTTTGGAGGGTTGTATTTCTTAGGCAATCCATGTAATTACCAAGCTTGACCTGACTCCACATGATTCGCTTCTGGGTACCCATAGCTACTTCTGGAACTGGTACGGAAAAGTCGTGACCCCTCTTCCATACAATGGTGCTTCAGCTATTTGGAGACACGTGTAACGCCACTTAGTCATCTTTCCCTCAGTGCCAGTTTGGCGATTGTATTGGTGCTCAGTAGTATCAGTCTCGCTGGAAGGGCACATTTCAGTGAATGAATGAACAGTGAGCCCCTATTTTCCATGTGCCAAAGCAGTGAGCTAAGAATACTCTACATTCATGAGGGTGAGGGCTGGGGGGAGGTTACA